CTCTGCTCTGGTGGCTGGTGAAAGAAGACAGAGAACTAGAAGCCCAAGTCTTTGGTATCTACCTGCATAGACACTGGCTACATGCTGGCTGAAGGCCAATGCCTGGCTGATCTGGGGGATCTAAGAAATTGGGAATTAATTGGCGGAGAAAGTTGAGGAATTGTCATACTCATGCAGTCAGGAGAAGATGGTATGAGATCTAAACTCAGGTGTGTGTTGCCCAAAATTATCATGGTTATGAGAAATATATTTTATTTCTAATGCAAATGCAGTGCTAACTTTAGCCATACATATGGACAGTAGAGGCTGCAGTTCTATGACATGTTTACTTACAAGTGATTTGAGTAGTATGAAACAAGCTTTTAACGTCACCAAATTCTGTTCATTATTTCTTTAAAATGTCTTTTCTTTCTTTCTTTTTTGTTCTTAGACCATTAGATAATTTGCTATGTCTTCTTTTGTTTTTAGTTGAAAAAAAAATCCATTCTTTTTCTCTTGGTATTCCAGTCCCCGAGGGATATCTGACTGCCTCAAATGCATGCAGAGAAGCCCCAGAGAAACCAGTCAATACACTGCCCTTAAGTGTATAGATTTTATATCGTGCTCTTTACTTTGAGTCACCCAATGCTTAAATGAAATTTCCTCTTTCACTGGGTGTATGGCAATAGTTACCTCTGATTTCTTCCTTTGTATTATCTGTGGTTGTTGTGCTTTTACAATAACATATGCATTAATAATTTGCCTGTGTGTTTTAGAATATTTCATAACATGAAAGTATCCATATATTTTTATTCTCTTAGCTGGTGAATAGCATGAAGAAACATGTCTTGTGTATCTTGTATTTAACAAATGATTGTTTATGCAACCAGTATTTATACTGAGTAGTATTCAAGAAGTTTACATTGCCTAGGGACTGGTATACAGTTTATATAATTTTTTGAGAAAGTTCAATACAAATGACTTTTATAGATCCCTGCATCATGATAGTAAGTGTAGCACATTGATGATGTGGTCTGAGTTGTAATTCCCTAAAATTCACAGATTGAGGCTCTAATCCCAGTGTAATGGAGTCATGAGATGGGAATTTGGGAAGGTAATTAGGGTCAAATCTGTTCATGAGGGAGTGTTTTCTTATGATGAGATTGATGCTCTTACAAAAATGAGATCAGAGAGAGCTCCTCCTCCCTGTTCACATGCCTCTTTGCCTCTCTGCCTGCTCTGTCTCTGTCTCTGTCTCTCTATCTCTTTCTCTCTATTCCATAAATTACAGAGAAAATGCTCTCTGAAAGCCAAGAAAAGAAAAGTTTTCACCAGAAATTGAGTTGCTTAGCACTTTCAACTTGTGATATATTGTCATAGCAACTATAGCACACTAGTGACTATGTATTTATTTTACAAAGGACTATTGGTTTTATACAGAATCACATGTTTAAAGAAAGTTTATGTCTGAAGCTTCTTTGGTATATAGGAGAGAATTTAGTGTTATACTTTTCTAGTGATGTGGAAACTCAAGTCTTCTGAGAAAAACTGAACCACAACAGGATCTTGCAAGTGATGTGCTGAGATGTCCATATTTATTATACAAACATTCCTCTCTATGCAATACATCATACATAAGTCAGAAATTGAAGTCTAGCTGTGATATGATCCATCCTTAGAGAAAAGTATTGCAAAGACCTAGAACAATGTCTGCCTCTTGTCTTCCATACTCTCTGTATTTTCAGGGTTTATCTTCAATATATTTTTTTAAAACTTTACTGTTGGAATTCAAAAAGTCAATTCTGTATTTTGATAATCCAAAAGAATGCTGCTGTTTCATTCTTATGGTAGTTACTTTATTACTATAATAGATTCTGGAGCCTGCCTCTTTTGTGACGTTAAATACGTTTCTTCACTGATGGCCTTTCTTCGGAAACTTGAACTAAGGACAAGGTAGGACTCTCTGATGCTATTGATTGTAGTACTAATAGAAGTTGGACTGTATCAATGATAATTTGCTTCCCAATTTAGATTGGGGCCAGTAACTTTTCTGTAAAGCTGAGATAGTAAATAACTTTTGCTTTCTGGGATATATTGTCTATTGTAGCTATTCAACTTTGCCATCACATCATGAAAGCAGCCATAGGCAACACATAAGGAAATGGGTAGCTATGTTCCAATGCACGTTAACCACAAAGAAACAGGCTGTACATTGAGTTTGGTTTAGGCAAATCATCTGATAAAGGCCACGCAGTAAACATATCTATTTTTATAGTTCTAGCATGGTGTTCACTGGTATTGGCTATATTTTAATCCATATAATGGATTTCTTCTGTAAAAAGGAAATGTTATCTAAAGTTAGTAAGTTATAGAGGAAATTAATTTTAATCTAAATTCTTTAGATTAAAAGGAATAACTGAAGAGCTGTGGAATCTGAGTAGGCTACAGAAAATGGAAATATACTAATGGAAAAATATTACTAGCATGTTTTTGTATAAATAAAATATCTTAGAGATTTGAGATTTTGTATAGTACAGCAAATCACCTTAAGGGATATTGGTCAAATAACCATTTCCTATTCTATGCCACCTTTACAGTTACATATCTGTTTCAACTTCAGATTAGGTGCTTTCTACTTGGCAACTATGCAAATTATACAAACTACAACTTCCCAAATTAGCTTTGCATTCAGAATTACTAATTTTCAACAACAGAACTATTATGAAGATGAAAATATTGGAATTAAGGAATACAAGGTTCAACTTTAACTCCTATTTCTACTCACCAATCTATTCTCTTCCGTGAAGTCATGCAAACATCTTCGCTATTTTAAATTCATTATCTATTTATTTCTGTCCATTTTCATACTGAGGCTCTTATCTGAGCCCCTGATAATTCCAACAGTGTCTTAGGCCGAAGCTGGACCCAAGTGTTTTATCATTCTAATTTATTCTGCACACACTGATAGATAAGATGCTGCTTTCATCAGAACTTTCTTGTTTCACTTATTGAACACTGACTCAAACACTGATCCTGACATTTATAGGTCTCCACAAAATCTCCCCAGGCTCCAGCTCACATCTCTGTGGCCTCAACCTACCTAATTTTCTATGAGCTTATTAATTATGTTTCTCACCTCAAAATGCTTAACTTATAGAATTGATCTCATTGTGCATCCCTCTCTTCTTGCTTATTCTAGGAAGATGGGACAAGTTAACTAAAAGCCTGTCTTTAAAGTCTTTCTTGCTCCTTCAACTTCAAATGATCAATTTGCAATCAATTGCTTTTTGTGTTTAAATCCTATTTGTTGGGTAGGAGTAAATGATCTCATTTCCTTAAGAAATCCAAGTTCCTTGGTTTCAATCCTCATCCTCTCACAATACCCATGGCTCTCTCTGCACGCTTCCTCCATGCAGTCACAAATGAATGAGTAGCTGGCTTACAAAATCTGACATACTAGACAACACAGACATACCCATTCTGTAGACTTTGCTGATTTAACTAATGCAACGTGATTACTTCAATCACTAAAAGAAACCATTTTATTTAATTTTATTTTGCCCATGACCAGATGGTGTCAATGATAAACATAGTGAGACATTGACATTCATTCACAGTTCTGGAATCAACCATGAATATCAATGTAAGAAAACATTTCTCTCTTTCTGAGAACAAATGATACTTCTCTCCATCTCATGCCCATAGTAATATAGACAAGGAAAAGAAATCTCCAGGCTGGAATAATAACGACAAGAAGTCCCTTTCCATGAAAGTTATTTTCCTAAAGTTAATAACACACAAACCAGTTGCTATAATGCAACTTTGTCCTCCCAGATTTCCTGAAACAGATATTTCTGGGACAGAGTGAGCAGTGTGGGGACTGGCCAGGATTAGAAAGCATTGCTTAAAGACTGAAGGAGGAAGAGCCACCAAACAGGAAGCCACCAAATGAACATTCAAAAGCCAGGAGAAAGTGTCATTGAGGAAGCCAAAGACAATGTCCCTTTTCCCAGAGGAAGTGGGGAACTGTATTAGATATGAAGATGTACTCACTAGGACCAGAAAAGAATAGTCTATGAGATTTGGAAATGATAAAGTCAATGATCATCATAAAAATTGGTATCTGTTCAGACAGTGTGTCTAAAGATCAAGATCCACAGTCAAGTCTATAAAAATGGGAATTCTGTCCTATATCTTCAAACTTCTGTATCATTATTAAGAAAATAAATTACAAATAAGAGTAAAACACATCTTTAGAGGTTATTGAAAGGTAGATAGATGCATGTTCAATTACATATTAAGCTACATTTATTTCTAGTCTATTAACAGTTTGTATAAGTAAAAATAATGAAATATCTAAAAACCTATCAACAATATTCTCCAAATCTTGAGATTTATTTCCTAAAAAATCCAGCACATAATTAATGCAAATATGAAAACTTTATATCACATGTAGGATTCTGCAGGCTTCTTTGCTTCATAGAAGTGCAACCAGTCTCTAATTCACATACTGCCAAGTTTTGAGTAAATAAATAGGCAATTTAAAAGCCATTACAAAGTACAATTAGGGTCCTGGATAACCTCTGTGATATTAGGAATGTTACCATTTGAAAGTGATCCAGTTAAACTACATTGCGTTTATGGAAAATATGATGCATACTAACAAGGATGTATGAATCATAGTGATTTTTGAGATGTCAAGTAAAGTGTTATAAGTTATCAATAGCTAAAACAATCTATCGTTATCTATGTTATGACCAAAACCCGGACCTTATTTTCTTCCACCTATCAGTTAGGGAAGAACTCAACAGTTATGTGTTCATTCCAAAGAACAAAATTTCAAAAGCTAAGTTTCTGTTTTCTGGTGTTTTGTAGAATAGGACAAAGCTGTTCTTATCTGCTCTGCTGTGTATGCCAAGCCTGATGTCAAAGCCAAATGTGACGAGGCAGTGGTGGGGGAGATAGAAGAATAAATTCTGGAGAAGTGCAAAGCAAACTGACTATGGTGTGTAGCCTCCCACCTCTTGCTTGCCGTCCAGGTCCACAGCCTTCCTGGGCTCCAGGGAAATCCTGTTGAACGCTCCAAGGAACTAACTGGCACCTGCGCCATTTGTGTGTCTTCCACCTACCGGAAAAGAATAAAATCGCACTGAGAAGAAGCAGATATGGCAGGAAAATCACATAGATAATATAAGTGTTTAAAATAGGTTATTCACAAATTATACATCAGTTCATATAATTCATATTACTACTGAAATTTTCAAATAGACCTATAGCCTAGCATGAGGACCAGTAACCCCCTAATTTCCTGTCTTTCATGTTGCCAGCAGTAATGAAATGATTCATATAAAGTACCTGCTATTGTTTGAATGTAGAATGTCCTGTAGAGGCTCATTTGTATGAACCATGGCACCCAGCTGGTGTTGCTGATTCAGGAGGTGGTGGGACTTTTTTTTTTGGAGGGGATCTATGAGGCAACCTGTCATTGAGGGTGGGCCTTAAAGTTGGTAGAGTTATTTGGTTCCTGATCAATCAAGGTGCAAACAAGCTGCATTGAAAGCTCCAATTGCCATTTATTACCCGACATGAGGGACTGTATCTCTCAAACTGTGAATGAAAAAAATGCTCTCCTACCTTAAGCTGTTTGTAATAGACCTGACACACAACATAAAACAGGAAAAACATACCAAAACACTACCTATAATTTGCATTTTCAAAAAATACATTATCTAGCCACATTCAGTTTTACCTAATTTTAATTTACCTACTCAGTAACCCCTTCTAAAGGCAACTTTAAATATAAAATTCTTCCTATGGCACTAGAGACAAGACTATCATTGGCAAGTTCTGTAGGAAAGGACTTCACAGAGTGACAAAGAGCATTTGGACTTGTTATTCATACTTCCAAGAGATGCCCCAACTGGCATCAGAAGTGCTGCATTCCACTAAGTAAACTGCAGCCAGGTCAGGTGTCTTCTCTATAGTACCCTTTGGATGATTACTGTAGGGGTAACAGCAACTGAAATTATATATCCTGTAACAAATGCAAATTCCAAAAATCAATATGCTGGGAAAATAGTCAATAATGATTTTGTTGTGAAAACATAGTAATTCTATTTGTCATCTCGGAATTAAAGATACATGTATTAAGATGGCAAATTTATGACTGATCTCTACTTAAATTATCATGTAGTGATCACAAATTTCATTAACTAATGCCGTAGCATATATATTTTTTCATTTATTGTCAGGACTGGAATGATACACTTCAGCAAGGTTCAATGAGAAACTTTAATCTTAACGTCAAAGAGAGCAGATTCCTGTAATAAAAAATTCACGTTATGTGTTGCTTCAGTGACTTCAACTTTCCTGGAGTTGCTAATAGATGAGTAGAACAGACAGATATGCCCCTGGCATTGCAAAGGAACAATGCCACTTCCTGAGCCACAATGTTCACTCTCGGGAGAAACAGGGGTTCTTTGGAGATGAGGGAAACCAATCCTGATTATCGCCCCTCCCCCCCATGACAAAGAAGTACCTTCTTAAGAACATGTGTTTTGAAATTGTTAACTCTTCTCTGCATTCCTTATAGTTTCTATTAACATAAGACATCATCCCTAACTACTAGAGTTTCCTGCATAGCTGGGAAATTGACCCATGTGTTTGATTGACTTCATAGAGTTAATTTCAGAAGTGGAGAAGTTCTCTGAAATCTAGGTGAGGAATGGTTGCTTCAGCAGTGAACAACCTACTGAGTTGGCGGAAGGAGTATCAGATTTATGATGTCACAGGCAGTTGCCCACAAAATGATTTCCTTTCCCCCTTTACCTGTAGCTGTGACACATGGGAGGTGCCTCACAGGCCTTCTCTTCATACAATTGGTCTGAGCAGTCCCGGCCTCCATTGGCTGGCAGCTGAATGATGACCCGATGTCTAGACTGCTTCCTGGGTCCAGAGTCTCCTGCAATGAAGCAACCTTTCAGCCTCTGCACTGGTAACTCCACAACAGCTGGTGTTGAAGAATTTCCTCAGCCTTCAGTGACATGTGCTGTGACATGCCTGAATGAGAGGCCTTATTTCGTCTCATCATTTACTAATTTTCTCACAGACCACTTACAACCGAAATCCAATCAGTTTATATTTTAAAATGTAAAGAATGAAGAGAATCCATTCCACAGTCAGTGAGTTCTTCTACTGTGCAGTTACAAAGCAATTGTTCTGTTGTAGCTTCCTGTCCCCTTGAGAGATATGACAGATCTAATTAAATCCTTCCCCTTACTGTAAGTCTATTTTCATGTCATCTCATGTAGCCATGTTTGCCACATGGGACACATACACTTGTTGTGAATCTTCCTTAGGAGGGTATGTTCAATGTAATAAATCTATTTTGTTGTTACTCTCTTAATTTGAAACTCATAACTTATAAATTATTCCAGCTATTTATTATTCATGCTAAGCAGCCTAAGAGTCTCAATTCAGGCTGCACTCTGAGCCTCATGCTCTATGTAGAGAAACAAAAGAAGCTTCCCAGAGAAAGACTTATTTTAGGGAAGTGTCAAAAATAGCAGAAATTACTATAAGTAAATAACTCCAAATGATTTCTAAAACTGGGGAAGGAGGTTTACCTTCAAGAAAGGTAACAGTCTGGTGTTCAAATTTGAACTTTAGATTATAAATAGAGGTACAGAGTTTACCAGCTGTGATAAACTATACTTCAAATTTCAATACACATATCTTTTAAGAGTGAGTAGCTGCATGGTACAATTTTACTAAGAAAGGAATTCTGTGGAGAATTACATCATCAGATAATATAATTCCTGATGCTTTTACATTATTTTGCAAAAATTAGTAAATATTTCATACATAGACTATGGAACAGCAGGGTCTTTATAGAGTTTATAAGTTTTAACAGTTGAAGTTCAACCAAAAGGAAACAAAACATTTCAAAACTTATTGTAGTTATAAGAAACAATGATTTGAAAGTGAAAAATTTCTCACAACAGAACCCCTTTTCATGAAGTCAAGGTGTCCCTTAACACACTGGTGGGCAAACAATGGCAGCCATGATTAGAGAGAACTCTTGTGCTGGATAGAGGAGGCCATTGGGTACCAGTGATTTCTGAATGACTCTGCTGGATAAGCCTTTTCAAAACAGAAGCAACAATAGCAAACAGCTGAGCCCAAAGCCAGAACTACCGAGCCAACATCCTCACAGCAAGGTTTAAGAGTCTGTTTTATAAACCTTCCAGGAGCTTTGATGGACAGTCATGGAAAGGAAGAGCATAGGACCGGCTAAAGAGATGGATATGTGCTCCTTGTTCCAATTTAAGATTCTGGATTATTGTAAACTGTTAGCATTATTCCCATAATAAGTGAATCATGTTTATAACTATAATAATTATGTTAATGAATAATAGGAGTACTATAATTAATGGAGTAGGGAATTGGGGACTGGAATTGCTGGCAACTAGGAATTGAAGTATTTGGGAACACTGCTGTGGCCTTTTTATTGTAACAGTATAAATTTGAATACTGACTCAGATTTTACATATTTAATATGATTTATCCAGAGAAGATATATATCCAGAGAAGAAATGTCAGTAGAAATCTAATGTTACCAATGCTTCTCTATTTATTATATTGTTCAAATGACTTCTAGCTTCAAGTCCAGGTGATTAATCACCTCTAACCATTCAGAGTGAGGAGCATTTTCATATCTTGATGCTCCTCACAATCCATTATGCTTCTGTTTTTCATTTTGGTCACTGGAATCTCAGAACTAATTTCCTCTCCATTAGAGGAGCACAGATTAACTTTGATTTTCTCTTTGGTATTTTTCTTCATTTGTTTTCATACCCTCCCCATTCACTGCTTGGTTCCACACTTCTATTATTTTGAATATTTGTTTTATTTTAGTAGGTGCTTAGAACTAATATTTAATATTTTAAGAAAAGGGATACCTTAATAGAGGGAGCAATTATAGGTTTAAAGAGAAATCTGGCACTAGGGAAATGTCCAGAGATCTACAAAGATGCTAAGATTCTAATCAATAGTGGAGAGGGTACCTTAAATGCCCTTCCCCTAATGAGATTGATGACTACCTTATATGCCATCCTAGAACCTTCATCCAGTAGCTGATGGAAGCAGAAGCAGAGTCCCCACAGCTAAGCACTGAGCCAAATTCTTGGAATCCAGTTGTAGAGAGGGAGGAGTGATGAGCAAAGGGGTCACGACCAGGCTGGGGAAACCCACAGAAACAGCTGACCTGAACAAGGTGGAGCTCATGGACCCTAGATTGACAGCTAGGAAACCATCATAGGACAGAACCAGTCTCCCTAAATGTGGGTGTCTGTTAGGAGACATGGGCAGTCTATGGGGCCTTTGGTAGTGGAACAGTATTTATCCCTAGTGTATGAATGAGCATTGGGAGCCCATCGCCCATAGGGGGATACTCTCTCAGTCTAGAAATGTGGGAGAGGGCCTAAGCCCTACCCCAAATGATGTGACAGACTTTGATGATCCCCCTGGAAGGCCTCACCCTTTCTATGGAGCAGAAGAGTGATGGGATGGGGGTTGCTGGGGGGCATGGAAAGATGTGAGATGGAACTGGGATTGATGTATAAAATAAGATTGTTTCTAATTTAAATAAAAATGTGTAGAGAAAAAGAGTATGTAAACTAAATAAACATCTGATGACTTGTTTAGCATCTGAAGAGGGATTTCTTTAATTTCTTAATTTCTCCCACTCCTCTCTCAGTCTGTCTGTTCCTTTGTCTTCTTCATTAAGAAAAAGATCACCAGCATATGTGTCTTTGTTTCTCAGGTGGTCAAAATACTTAGAGGAAGTCACTTATTATCCTTCCTCAATTTGCTTAAGGAAGTTAGATACAAAATTAAGGCCAAGGAGCTGGAGATTGGAATGTACAACGAGCTCAGCATCAATGACACACTATAAGCTGAAGTTCCTAAGTGTTAACTGTCTAGTCACCTGGTACAAAGTCAAGCATATTCCAACTCATGAGCTCCAATATCTGTTCTTCTTTTGTCTTTGTTTCTAGTTTTGAAACACATGTTATTTGAAATACAATCTGTAGCATTCTTCTGGTATCATTTTATTACAGTTATACACATGTATGCTATAAATCAAAGACTATGGGTATATTTTCTTCTTTAATTGACTGAACAGTGGTAGTCCAATTATTCTTATACTAAATTCAAATCATGTATCTGATCATGTGTCCTGATTAGACTGGAACACTCCAAAGCTGTACACCTCAGAGAGGAACGTTGCATAGGGAGTATCAGGACATCCTTGTTTCTTCCCTGACTATAGTTAAGAACTTTCTGTGTGTTCACTTTAGGACTCAACCAGTTTATGGACCTATAGCTGAATCCATGGGGCTAAAGATTATTCATACACAACTTTTGGTAGTAAACTTGGAATTTGATACGTTTTTGTGTATATTTATGCCCAGTTTTATTAAATGTGTTTGCAAATACATATAGGGTTTCCACTGATCTCTGTGAACATCCACAAAATTGACCACACATAGGAAGTGCTTTACAAACACTTACTGAATGAGAAAATATTCCTTTTGCACCCATTCCAATAGTTTATTAGCATGCTCTGTTTGCTTCTATCCACTCCTTGTAATAAATACTGGGTCCTGAACTGATACATCGAGGATTGAGAACAACCAAACTATCATTTGTCTCTTTGGAAAATAATGAGCATACAACTCTAAAGGTCCCTATGTGCTATATTTTTACTTCAAAATCCCTATGTAAGGTAGAACAAGGAAAGGGAATTATATATGCAAAATAACTATGTTTTTGAAAGATATACAAATAAAGAAAATACATAATCTATAAAACTGTTACAGCAGTTTTTCAGTTATCTCAACACATTCAACGTATATTCCATCAAAGAAATTACTTGTGGTTTGGAATTCAGAGTAAAATTTACGTGTCAAACTAGTCAAAGGATGAGTGGCCAGTAGGGGTAGCAATATGTGAACTGGGAAGGTAAATGTTGATGCAAGAAGCAAAAGATGATGGTACTCTTTCGATCTTTTCTGTAATTCTAGTGTATGATTGACTAAAGGGCCAAGGAGAGAATATTGTTCCTGTAGCATTCTGTCTGGCTTTTAAGGCAAGCAGTGTGAAAAAAAATGACACAAACAGAACTTGAGCATTTAAATTCATGATTTGGTCAGCAGAAGTTACCTTTTATAAGTTAGAATAACAAGTTCTATTCAGAAATGAATTATATTTTAAAGTGTCATTTTTCAAAATTCTTGAATAATTTTTTTGAAATTTAACAAGTACACCCCCATTTGAGGACCAAACTACCCACAACTTGAGATTAATATTTAATAACATTGGTTCTTTTTCAAGATGAGCCTTGGGAGAGGAGTGAATAATATTTTAAATGACTCATTTTTTTCTTCCTTGAAATCCAATTTATTTTTTTCCATTTCTGCAATACTACTCTTTTCTTCCTTAAATTGATTTTTTTTAATTTTTTAATTTTTTTAATTTTTTAAAAAATTAATTTTTTCTTCCTTAAACTGATTTTTATAAGAAGGATAGTTCCAAGTTGTAGTAAATACAATTTAGTAAATCATAAAATTTAGGATTTACCTGAAAATTTAAATTAAAAAGAAGTACTCCATTTCTGAATAAATCATTTTTTTTGTCATTGCCTCTTATTAGACACAAATCTTTGTTTAGAGTTTTTTACCTGAGTGCTGAAGTCAGTGCAATTTCAATGGCACTTAGACTAGACCATTTCTTAAGTAAATAATGGAAAAATTAGCCTGTGCCATTGTTTCATTTTCCTCACCACAGCAAAAGGCTACCCCTCTGTGATGCCACATTCCCCCTTGCTCAGTAGGGGAGGGAGCAGCAAGTAGGGGAGCAAAAACAGCTTCTTCAGAGCACAAAGCATCTTCTGCTATGAGTCTTCTATCACCCAATCCTTTTATGTGTTCAGCACACAATTATAGTTATTACTTTCCAATCTAAGAGCCTAGATTTATGGTGGTTTTTTTCTGGTTTATAAATTTGTTTTATTGATTCATTATTGACAGTGCAAACATGTATCAGGATATCATATTGTATCCCATAAATATATTTTAAGGTTATTTGTTAATTTAAATATTTAAAAAGATATAGATTTTTTTGTATAATCAGGCAAACCATTTTTTCAGTGTGTTATATTTATATTTATCTTATTTTATTTTTAATTCTTTAATTACTACTCATATTTACATATCCATCCCCCCATTCCCTTGCCCTCCCATCCTCCCATGCTCCCCACCCGCCACCCCCCAACTCCTCCCCAGGGAGAATGAGGCCCTCCACGGGGGACCTCCAAAGTTCCTCATATCGTTTGGGGGAGGGCCTAGGCCCTCCTTGCTGTATCTGGGCTGCAATAGTATCCCTCCATAGGGAATGGGGTCCCAAAGTCCATTTGTGCTCTATGGATAAAGACTGGTTCCACTGTTAGAGGTCACATAGACTGTCTGGCCTCCTAGCTGGCACCCACATTCAGAGGGCTTGGTTTGGTCCAATGCTGTTTTCCCAGCTTTATGACTAGGGTCTCCATGCTATCATTAGGTCTGGTCCACTGTTTCTGAGGGTTTCTGCAGCACCATCTTGGCTCCTTTGCTCATCCCTCCTCCCTCTACACAACTGGATTCCAGGAGTATGGTTCAGTGCTTATCTCCTGGTGCCTGTTTCTGCTTCGAACAGCTACTGGATGAAGGCTCTAAGAATAGTAACCAAGGTAGACATCAATCTCATTATAGGGGAAGGGCATCAATGGCCTCCTCTCCACCACTGCCTGGCTTCTTAGTTGGGGTCATCCTTGTGAATCCCCTAACATTTTCCCTGTGCCATAGCTCTCTCCAAACTCATACTGTTTCCCTCTAGCAAGGCATCTCCTTTTTAGCATATAGCTTTCAATCCATGTGGGAAGAGCTGGTTTGCCGTCCTGGTGAGAGAACCTTTGCCCAGCCACGTAGAGCTCTGCTTATATCTTCCATCACCACAGAGGCTCTTGTTTCCACATCAGCAAGTGTCTGAGCTGATGGTGTTCCTGCACAGAGGGGGCCACTCTCACCCCAGGGCCAGGAAAGAACCGTCATCTAGTGGCAACTTGAGTTTTAACTTAGGACATTTGTCTTTATATGACCAAGTGATCAATTCAACTCAGCCCATTGTACCTCACTTTATACCAACCCCAAACTCAAGTGTTATCACCGAGATCCACAGCATTGTCTGCAGACTTAACCTATTACAATTTCTCATTCCTCCCCATCCTCTGATGGGCCTATTTCCACACACATTTGGAATACCTGATCATTCTCCTTCAGTTTCTCCATTGAAATTTTCAGTATTTCCTTTAACAGATGTTACTTAGCTCCATGTAGTTATTTCTTATTCTTTCTCCTTCCTTCTGTCTTTAAAATCCTCCAACTCTCCTAAACTTCTGACATTAACCTCACCATCTGTCTGCCATATAGCAGTAACCTCAAGAAGCTTCACTTATTAGTCATCTTGACATATCCCTCACTGCAATCCTCTGTACCTCTGTTACCACTTTCATTTATTTGATAACAAGTTTGTTCCATTCTAAACACTGCATTTAAAATTCCTACACTCATCTCATGTTCTTCTCTTTTCATCTTGCTTCTGTTAAGACCTTAGTCTTACAACCATCATTATTTGCATATTTTTATTTTTAAATATTTTATACAGTTACCATTTTCCCTAAGTTGACAGTTCATCAATATTTTTTTTCAGTCTTACTAAAATTCTTCATATTCAATAGGGGCTGATACACATATTTCCTAGCACTCTTTTGTGATCTATTGTTACCTTTATGACCTCATTTCTCTTGAAATGCAACCGTTATTATTATATGTACTCACAACTGTCCTTGGTGTTCTATCTCCCTTTCCTCATATTATATTGCAGCAATCTTAACTCTGCTCAAAGCCAATCATTTTCTTTTAATTTTTGCAAATTCACCATTATGGATATTAGTTAAGTTATACTAGCAGTATGTTGAGGAATCTCTTTTTAAGTGCATGGCTAAATGAGATTTTGATATTGCCTAGACATTCTACCATAGATTATTAGCTTGCACACTTTGTCATTTTCCAGTGTGACATTACTTCTCTTCTTTACCCTGTTTTTATTTCACTGACCCTAATGCTCACTGATGATGTTTTATTTACACTAATTAAGAGATTAGAAAATAATTTTTCTCACACATCTCATCCCCCTAGGATATCAACTTGTTGACTGCTGACACCTTCTATTTGGAATCAAGCTTGATACATTGCAGCCACTTGGAAAGCATTATAGAGTGGAAGATGAATGACTGCTTTTAGTGAAGTAGTGAAGCATTGAAAATAACAAACCTATTAGGAAATTGCTAATTAACAACATTCAGTTCAAATTTTCAAAGACAGTTTTATTCTACTGTGATCTGAATGCTTTTCCCAGAAGTTTCTCAGAAAGATTGCTTCCAATACACCAAAGTAAAGCATTTGCCACATAGCAAGCACATGAAGGCATTATGATCCCCCATGGGAGGCCCCACCCTCTCTGAGGAGTGGATGGGGGTGGGGTGGGGGGATGTGGGGAAATGGGAGAACAGGAGGGGGAGGGAACTGGGATTGGTATAGAAAATAAGATTTCTTGTTTTTAATTTAAATAGAAGTTAATAAAAATCAGAAAATGACATTGCTTTTTAGGAAATTCATGTTACTAACATTTTTCTCTTTTTTGCAGTGAAATTAATATTTATTAAATCTTTAACAATTGTGGAAAATCTAATGAGAACTGGCATGATAGCTCACTTGGTAGAATAACTATGGGTACGATCTTCAACAGCATACTAACAAAAACAGCATGGTGCTACACATGTATAATCTCAGCCCTTTGGACGTGAGGCCAGGAACATCAAAGTCCAAGATAATCCTCACCTACTTAGTAAGTTCAAGGCCAACTTGGACTGAGACTCTGTTTCAAAAGCAAACTAACAGCAGTTAGTCTTTCTCCACCAAAGCTACTTTGAATTTTAAGACACTGATATTAAGAAATCTTTTCTTGTTCTGCTAGCAGTTTAGTTTATATAATATTTTGATATTATATAAATATCAAACATTCCAGATGTGGTATGCACCTGTGATCCCAGATGCCTGACTGCTCTATAGACTGGGGTCCTATCTCATAAACAAATTTCCCAAAAGTTGTGCTTCAGCTATACACACTGATAATCTGTAAGAAACAATTAATTAAGACATTCAGAAAATTGAATAGTTTAAAATAAAATTTAGCAAGTTACATTAGTCATTAAACTAGAAATTAACTCTTACTTGCAAATCTCCAGTGAGAATCAAGAAGAATAAACATAAGGAAAGCATAAAGAGAATGCACAGGTTGAGAAAGCACACTAGAAAACAGGAGGTGATGTTGTCTGTCACACTGAAAGAAAATTTGCTGTTATTGTGTAAGTCACGTGGAAGGTGTGAAAATTTCTCTCAGTAGGAATGTTAAAAGACCATGTCCTGGAGGGTAAGGAAAGATTTATCAGGGGACTGACCATGATAAAAAGTCTTTGCAAGTCACAAAAGCAAAACCAAACCTCGCATAGAACAAACACTCATCTTGGAAATGCCTCATGGCAGGAAGTCAACTCAGCTGTTTTTCTCTTTGCTCTATTCCCATCCTTGGGCCAAATAACTGAAACCATAGCAAACATGATCTCAGGCTATTTCTTGCCTGTAAGTACGTTAGAAGCCATGTGTACTAAGGTCACTGGAAGCTCTCTTAAAAATTCACAAGTCCAGTATCCTTTCTTTCAGGATTAATTAAAGATAAGATGTATTAATAAAATCTAGAATCATTTCAATTTGAGGCATATAATAAAAATTCAAGGCATACTAGGGCATAAAATTTATTGCCTTCCAGGTACTCTAATGTAATATTATTTCCAGGGAGAAACTCCAATGTTTTGACATTCATGAAAAGTCTGGACAAAAAGGCCCTGTAGAAGAATCACGAATATTGCTCATCCAGAAGTTCAATATCCTGCTGAATGAGGGTCCTGGTGAAGAGCCTTAACAAACTATACCCCATACCTTCTCTGCATGAAGAGGGACATGGTGTCCAGTCACTGTATGAAGTCACGATACAATCCTTCCTACAAGGAAGCAAGCAAGGCCTCACTGTTTCAGGCCGAAGGCTTTCAGGACACCTAGAACAAGCAAAGAAATTATTCAGCCTTTAACAAACCATGAAGCCAAGTACCTTAATTTTCTCCCAGTTTTCATTGCTGTGTGAGTCATAGCCTCCAGCCTCTATTACTTAGCTTTCACGGCTGCTTTTAACAAGCACCATTTGGCTAAATTAATTCTCTTCAACAGTACTCGGACAAGACTACACATTCAAATATGTATACTTAATGATGCTAATGCCATCTAGAAGATATGTAACTGGTATATCGTTCCCTTTAGAATAATGTCTCCACTAGTAAATATGTATTATCTAATATGCATTCATATAAAAATTGTAGGAATTCTAATTATAAATGGTAGGACAAAATTTCTGTGTCTGTAGAAAAATATTTCATAATAATAGGAAAAAATCTATTATTACAGATGTTTCTTAATAATAATAATAATAATAATAATAATAATTAATATTACTGTCAAATATATGTATGTACGTGTGTGGGTATACATGTGATAGTACTTGGATGTTGGTTCTGAGATTGAATACAGGTCATCAAGCTTGTTTGCTGTCTTCCTTCCTTCCTTCCTTCCTTCCTTCCTTCCTTCCTTCCTTCCTCCCTTCCCTCTCCCTCTCTTTCTTTTTATGTTTATTTTATCTTATTTTATTTTTGAGACAGGGCCCCACTGTATTGGCTGACCTGGAAATTAGGCTGGCCTCAAATTCACAGAGATCCACCTGTCTTTGCTTCCTGAATTCTGAGGTTAAAGGTGTATGCCATCATTCTTAGTCCCTTATTAGTAACCTTTAAAGAAGTAAACAGTGAGTAATAAGACTGAACACTATTTGTGTCCAATAATTTCTTTGTAGCATTTTGCTGATACCTCATTTTTGACATATCCTACATGTCGTTTCTCATATGCAAATATAATGCTCTTTTCTATTGTAAAAATGTGTTCTCTTATTTTATATACTCAGGCTTATTTAGAAGTCAATTTTCAAAACCATTTAAGATATAACATGTCAAATAACAATAATTTCCCTGCTTAGTTGAGGATAACCTTGAACTTTCCTAATTGCTATGACTGTCTAATATATTGGGGCAGAAAATATTTAAGTATGAATCACAGAAGTTGATGTGTTTTTATGATTAGATTTTTATAAGACTGGAGTTATAATTTAACTTGAAAGCATCTATGACAAAATACAACATATAATCTAAAGAATTCTTTTGGGATTATGGAGCTACTGGTCGGTAATTATTATTGAGAGCAATTTTTTTCAGTGACAAATTTTATAACTTTGACAATGGGAGGCCATTACTCAATTACATGCTTTTCAAATCTGTATCCCAAAATATATCAATGGAATTTACAATGTTATCACTGACCCTCTACATATTCTTTTAGTTTGGAAATAGCCACAGCAAGATACAGGGCTAACTGTGGAGAGCAAAATTACCAACAACAAAGTCATTAAGTGCACACAGGAAGATAAATTAACAGTCTGGATTTATCCAATCAAATGAATTCCGACTTCCTTTGGTGAGGCAATTGTTTTAGTCAACATTCTTCTTTTCCCAGGCACTGTGTGTATTTAGCATTTGTGGTTTAAATCAAAGAATTGATTCCCCCATCCTCCCAATCTTACTCAAGGTCAAATTAAACAGATGTGATAGGAGTTGAAGTTTGTTACTTGGGAGGATAGATAAGATCAATAACATTGATTTTTCCATTTCTCAGCAATCTATTTTATTAAGAAGAGTTTAAAACAAGCCTCCTATTTGCATTTTTGTTTCAAATGACTTGTATTGGAAAGCACTCATTGAATTTAACCTAGCATTTAGAGAGGAGAGCAGTAACATTTTCCTTTGAACTCACTGTACTTGGTTTAATTTCCTACAGTTTTAAGGGCAAAGGAAACCCACATGATTCAAGAAATCTATGGACATATCCAGATCACTGAGAAACAGCTGTAGAGGCATAGTAAATTTTTACTGGATTACTGTGGTCTGATATTAGGGATCAGGATAACCTTCTTATTGAATGATCTCATGATACAGGCTCTTTGATGCAGTGATCTTTCCACATGCATACCCTTCATCCAGGAACAGTACTTTATTTTGTAGTAGTTCTAAGTGGTAACCTTTGAAAGGACATCATTGTCTGCCAAACAGATAGAGGAAGCCTTTTGCAAATTGGTATATTATTGCTCATCCTGTCTGGTCTAGTGAGCACTTCTATCTCTGTTCTTATTTCAGCAAGAATCAAGCTCTTCCAGACTTGGGGATTTTACCCCTGATGCTGGTAACACCACTGAATTTTAATATATTGCAAATTAATTTCCTGAGTCAGATTAATAACAACCTTAGTGTAATTCCCATTAATATACTGGTTTGCTGTTACCATATGAGGTGTGCAGAATTGTCTCTCAACTTACACAAATCTCCTTGGTACATATTTTCTAATATATTTTCAAATATGCATATATATGTATATATACACAAAACTATCCCATGGAGCTAATATCTTTAACATCTGGAATGTTAATCAGGTAAAAATATATAATGGGACCCTTGTTTATTACCATATGGAAGATAAATTATTCTCATGCTCTTGGAAAATTTCATAGAACAAAATCAAAAATAATGCATCTGTAAAGGGACAGATAAGGAGAAGGGAGCATAACAGGGATAGGGAGGAAGAGAGATGGGAGGAAGACAGAGTAACCCAAATGCTCTTTATTCATCCACAAAATTTTCAAAGAGCTAATGTCACTGATAGAAAAAAGCAAAAGAAATATATTGCATGCTTAAAACAGTAATTTCTAATGTTTATTGAATGAGTACATCTCATTATATAATCCTTTCAGTTATCTTTGAAAATCAAAGTCACATGGCTAATAATTTGGGGAACAAAAGGCCACAGTTACACCTATATAAAACTTGTTGGTTGTGCTACCAATGTTCAATATGGTTAAGACATTTGAGTCACTAAAAAAGTTATTTTGTTTCAAAATATAAATAGGATGTTCCCACTCAAAAGAATATTTGTTTGTTATAGAAAATTCACTAATTTTTCTATAAGGATTGATTTTTCCCTTCATGACATTACTTGGATTCACTCATACTTGTCACAAGATACCCTTAACACCTCAAGTGTTTGTTTGTCCTTCCCTCTAGCAAATTGTTTCCCTTGTTGTCACCATCTTCTTAACCCATAAGAATACGATGTGTTTTTTTACTTTATTGTAACAGCCATCTTATCCCAGGTTTCTTTGTTGGAAGCAAGTGGTTACTCCTTTTACCACGGAAAAAATATAAGTTTGGCCTTCTTACTAATGATATATTATTTCCTGGGGAAAATGGAAGGCAGATCATAGATGGCTTCTATTCAATTAAATAGATTGTCAGCCTCCAAGCGTAGGGATATACAGGAGGTCATGGATAACCTCCACTGCTAGGACTTTGTATACTGTCATTATTGATCAGCCAAGCCTAGAGCAAGACTTCTTTCTCTACCTCAATAGCTTAATAAAAGCAGACTGTGCTACAATAGAATTGAAAATGGGCAGCAGGTAGAAAGGGTTCTACAGAATTTATGGGCCCCTAGTACAAGACTCAGAAGTAGTTACAGCTTTATCAGCAACTGACACTAAAAACAAACAAATCTTTTCTTGGAGACAGGAATTACAAGCATCAAAAGACCCCATTTAATGAAGCAAGCAAAGCCCAAGCCAATCTTCTGCATGACTGAACACAGGATTTACTGCAGACATTCTAAAGGTCCTTACTTTTTGGGTCCCACTTGGCCCACGTTGACTCGCACACAGATGACTTTCCGTGTCTGCATGCCCACAGAACATGAAGCTTCCCCATTCCATGTTGTACTCGTATTGAAGGATGACACTGATGTATCCTCTATACACTGACCCCAGGGACCAGTTTGCCAGTGGTACACAGTACAAGGATGTTCATTGCAGCTGCGTACCTCTTGCAAAGCACTGCTGTTGGGACAGCGGACTCCACCTACGAAAATGGACAATGGTAACAGATTAGACAGAGAGCCAAAAGGAAATTCATTATTCTCTCTTGCTAGGAGTTTGCAGGGCTAATAACGATGATGCTGATCACGTACTGAACACATGGCATGCTACCAGCAAACTGAAAAAGAGGCAAATCATTCTTTTTCATGTTCTAGCTTAGAATTTAAAGCATAGAGTATACATAGTACGAATTGAAGATAATTTAGGACCTTAAGGAGAAGCCATTGTTCTTCAGAGAAACACAGCATCAAATGCAAGGAAGCCCACAGTATTGTTAACTTTAAGCAACAGGCAACTTCACACTGTGCATAAATGTTTCTAAATGTGCCTTCTGTTGTCATCTTTTAAATTGAAAGTCTTAATCCAGGGATTTCAATAGTGCTTACTTTAATACATTAGAGTTTAGGGTGATTACAATCAAGGATGTTAAAATTGGATGAAAATTTAAGATCTTTTAGAGTATTATTGAGAAAAAATGGAGTGTTAATATTTGTTCAAATCAATGATGTCGTTGTCTGTGCAATGCAAGATCATTTTATGTGTTCCAAAGAAAAAGAAATGGTTTTTCAAAAATTACAAGAAAAGATAATTTTAAATTTCTCTACTCAGAGTCCAGATCTTTTCAGGCACTTTGAACCCATTCACATCAAATTTGTGTTCTTTGTAGTGTCACTATCTGTGATATCAAACATGTTGGGGATATCAGATAATTCATTTTTATTAAAATTATTACATTTATTCATTTGTTTGTGTGCATTTATGTATATATTAGGTGGGGCATGCATATTTCATGGTGTATGTGTATTTCAAATGCAAAGTTGTGGAAGTCAGTTCTTGGTTTTCATGATATGGAAAAATCATTTTGACTAACACACACACACACACACACACACACACACACACACACACACACACACACACAAAAGAATTTACTTCTAGGATAACAATAACTTTCTCTAAATTTCCATGCTGTTACATTCTTTTCCTTTCAGTTCTGGGGGAAGGAATCTAGGACTTCCACATGTTCAGCAAGTCTTTTATCATGGAGAGACTTTCCCAAGTCCTGGTGGAGTTTTAATTGCACAAGAGATGTATTAAAAGTCTTAAACCAACAACTAGGATTTATTGTTTCCACAAATGGTCTTTAGCTGATTTTTATTGTTTTCCTTTTGCATATCTGGGACTGTTATTTTGGCCAGAACAACAATGCTCACTATCACTATAGGTGAAGGCAACTGTGCCATAACTTCGGCTTAGCTGCTGTGTTTCAGAAATGCATTCAAGGTACAAAGCAATAAGATGAGATGTGAAATGATAAGATAGACACATCTCTAACTGGTGAACTGTGATGTGAGGGTTAGTATTCTGGAATCATTTTTGTGTCAGCCTTATTGTGTGAACTTTATAGGCAGGGTCTTAGTTTGTGTTCACAACTGTCAAGTGAATAAATGCAAAAACCCAAGCATCTGAAATGATGTGACCAGTGTATTAATGAGGAACGTAGGAAGTTCATGTTCCTTTTTCGCCAATTGTGAAAGTAAAAGGCAGGGATTACAGAGATTCATCACTCACTTCATTGATGATTTGATTCCAGTGGCAACACCAGAGATGATCTCCAGGGATTATAGATATGTTCAGACTTCTCTCTGATCAGCAGTTAATCAATAGGCAGTTTGTTAATAACAATTTAGAATTATTTCTGCATTGTTGAATGTGGTTCCAACATCAAAATGACCTGTCCTGAACATTTTCATTAGCATCTCTGCTTCATGAAAGTAAGGATATCTGCCACAGTTAATATCCTGTCTGCTATCATACAGCTGGATGACCCTGAAAACCCCTTGCATGGACTTTTAGGATTTGAATCCACTGAATTCTAAAACATGCTGATTGTACTGGGGAGAAATAAGTGAGCATGCCTAAAGTTCCTTCCTCCAGGTCCTAGATGTATTCAACCTAATATATCCATTCTATATAATTATTTAACAGTTCCTTTACATTTAGTAATAGAACTGCTGATAAAATGTTAAATTTCTATACCTATACCATTTTCACTGTAAGAATAGTATCTTGTTAAACTGATTTTAAAACTATGAGTTGCTTTTGACACTTGAATTGACTGCTTGGCTTAGGGGGAAAATGATAAGAGGAAGAAAAGAATTTCTACAACATCAGCATAACATGTCGAGGAACTGCAAGAGAGATGTTAAGTTTATAGATGTAAAGGCTATTTATTTTCTAGCCCTAATCCACATTAAAGCCACATTGGCAATTTGAATTTGATGTAGGTCTTTGCATAGATAAGCCCTAGTGTGGTCTCAATTACTACAACATTGCAATTTTGAAAGTATGGCTTGGTGTAATCTATCACTGAAGCATCACTGTGTTGTTTGGGGAATAATTTTATGTTATAAAAATTGATATACATGATGTGAAAAGTATCTATACCTAATTTTGGACCCTTGGGAGTATTTCCATTGTCATGGAGAAATTATAAAATGTGAACACTGACAAAATTAGTAATAAGTAAATTTTAAAATGTCCTCTTACATATACAAATATAAGCATTACACTAAAACTGTTAGAGTTTCTTTTTTATAATTTCAGCAACAGGAATAGTTTAAAGGACCTGATAAAACTTCTGTTATATAAATAAACCTTTAGAGAGAAGGTGTTGGAAAACTAGGAGGAGTTAAAGGGGGGAGAAACTATAATTAGGATATATTATGTGAGAAAAAGACCTATTTTCAATAAAAAGAAATAAACATTTATGTACGTATGAAATGGGCCAACTATTAGGTGAAATTGCTACATTAAGACAAGATCCATTGGACTATGGTGATGGCTCAATAGATAATGGTACTTGCTGCAAACAAGAGGACCTGAATTGAAAGCTCCGGAAGTCATTTAAAATACTGGGTGTAGCTGCATGACTGGTAACTTCAGCACAATTAGGCCAGAAACAGACTGGAGGATGGTTCGGGCTTTCTTCATTAAGCCCAACTTTAGTATGAGACCATCTCAAGTGTATAACATAGCAATAATGCAGACCATTTGACATCCTTTTCAGGCCTCCATTTCGTGCACAGGCTCATACTCCCACAAAAAATATGCATGTGCATATACCACACACTTCTATAAATACAAAGAAAAATCAAAATAAATGATAATAACTTTTCCTGTACACATCAGTCTTGCAGAAGCTTTATTAGAATGTGTATGGTGAGAATTAGGGAATTGTTGTTTCTGGGACTGATGTATTTACAACTGATTTGATAGAGCCCTACTCATGACCCCAGATAGGACTCCTAGCAATAGTGGACACATAGTCTGAACTAGCTATCTCCTGTACTAGTTTGGTGCCTAGCCCAATTCTCATCAGAGAGGCTTCCCCGACAACTCAAGGACACCACAAGAAAACTCACAGAATCAACTAACATGGACTCATAGGGGCTCACAGAGTCTTGAACTGACAACCATGGAGCCTGCATGCGACTGACCTAGATACTCTGTCTATAAGTTGTAGGTATGCACACTTGGTCCTCTTATTGGACTGCTAAGGGTGGGGACAGTGCCTGTCTCTAACTCTTTTGCCTGCTCTTGTTGCCCTAGTCCTCATATGGGGTCGCCTCGCCCAGCCTTAAAACATGGAGATGTTCTCAGTCTCAATGCAACTTAACATGCTATGTTATGTTTTGTTGGTACACATGGGAGAGTGTTCGCTCCCCTGAGGAAGAGGAGTGGACTGGGGCATGTGAACACAGGGGATGGGGTGGGGGAAGGACTGGGAGGAGGGGAAACTGTGGTTGGGATTATCTATCTATCTATCTATCTATCTATCTATCTATCTATCTATCTATCCCTATTCAAAATGATAACTGGATACCTGTATATGGAATGTGATGGATAGCATTTATGTGGAGTGCTTCAAGGGACACCAGAGGGATTATAAATATTTCACTAAACTCGAGGATATTGTGATGTGGTAATGAAAATGGGAGGGGTAGAGTTGCTGAGACAAACATGCTCATGCAGAAAACTCTACGTGATATGTCAGAATTACTTTGAGAGGTATGCAATTTAATAATGATTAAGAGAAGTAAGATTCATTGTGTTTTGGAGTCACTGGGCTGAACTAAGAAGAGCTAGGATTTTCAGTAGCAAGTTTCTGAGATGAGAAAGAAGAGATCATTTTATCTAAGCAAAACTAAAAATAAATGCAAAAGAATTCATCTAGGTATGGCTTGGGGATTAGCATACTGACATGCGAACTCAGGGTGTAGAGTTCTCAGGAGAAAGTACATGGATGCCAATATAAGGAAGTGGATGAGGTGCAGGATAGGAAGAGTTGACACTATGTTTCTACTGTCAGCTGCTATTGCTGCCCAAATCCTCTCATGGCAGAGTTGGCTTGTGGAGAAGTCTTGTCCAGGGCATGACAAGTGCTTGGGAGAACTGAGTCATAAAGAGCCTTAGCAGAAATAGGAAGACAAGTTCTTATTGTGCAGCCTCCTTAAATCTTCTGAAGCAAGATGGGGAAGTGCCACTATCTACATAGACACCAAGCAATGTTTGTACCTGTGGGTCTTTGAATTCTCTAAGAAACATAGCTGCTTCATGGCTCTAATAATCAAAATCACTAAACTGTAAAACATGAACATATTAAAATAGAACTATTACTACTTCCAAGATATTTTCCTGTAAAATATGATTCTGAAGGCTTCTAATTATTTTAGAAAATTGGCATAATTCTATTTCAATCTGCATCTATTCTCGGCTCATGGCAGATATGACAGCATGCTGGCATTTGGCTAGTGAAGTTTTATCAGGTCATTCTGAACTTTGCAAAAACAAATGTCTTCTCATTTTTCACTCTGTGAGGGTACTAGGGCATCATTCTTAGCTTTATAAATGAAGTTTGTGGAAAATCTGAACAGGGATTCAAAAAACGAAAAACACTGAAAATCTAATATTAATGCTTATATTTGGTTCAAATTCAACACACCACTACTTATATTAAATACATGCCAATTATTTAAGGTTTTCTTTCTTTTGGAACTTGATAACATAAACTTAAAGTAGGTTTGGGACAAATCCTAGTTTAGATACCATCATAAAGATGCTTATTTAAAAATCATTTAATGCTAAAAGCACAATCTAAAATCTGACCCCAAGAAAGGCTCATGACCCTTTGCATGTGTGTATATGTGTGTTAGTGCATATGCATTCATGTCTGTGCAGGTTCATGCATGTGTGAAATTCAGGGGTCAATCTCAAGTGTTGTTCCTGTCCACCTTGTGTATGTGATGATCTCTCTGAGACTGGATTACCTATTAGAGGCTGCTGGTTGGCCAGTAGGTCACAAACATCCTTCTGTCTCTGCTGCTTTAGCTCTGGGATTACTAGCACATCCCATAACACCTAGATCCTTTTTACGTGGGTTTTGGTCCTCATTTTTGCATGGCAAAGACTTACCCCATAGATCTCTCTTTAGCAACTTCTTGTCTCCTCCTGGTTTAACTTAAAAGTTCTAGTCAACTTTCTCCATCGTTCATGCTGTGACTATGTCTGGGTGCTTCAAATTGTGATTTGGTTTCCTAATGATATTTGAGCATGAATTATTTTGTAGAAGTTTTTGTGTATTGCTGATATTATGCTGTATGGTGTTATCTAAGATTTTATGGGAAGAAGAGGTACACAAATAATTTCTTTTAAATTCTTTTGAGCCACCTACATATCTGTATCACAGAATCAACAATTATTTTCATGGGCCACTTGTGAGAAATTGATGAAAGAGGCTCATCACTCTGAACAATTGGGTGTTTCCTGTAAGTAAGGCATCCTTCCATTCATAAACACATCCAATACTCCTAGCCCCATCCAAACTTGCAACTATCCACCAATAATCCTCATTGCACAAGGATTTAGTTCAGAATCAAGCATCACATTTAGGCATCTCACTCATTGTTGGTCTCCTTTATTTGAAAACATTTCTTCTGTATTTCCTTAATTTTTATAGGCAATTCTGAAGATTTGGCATTCATTATTTTACAATTATATAGCAACTTATTGATGTCTTTTCAGAGTAGGATTCTATGCATGAATTTCTGGCAAGTTGTCTCAGAAGGAATGGCATGTTGTAATTGCAGAATATCCAGGAGATAAGATTCTGAATTGCTCCAGGACTAGTGATTACTTGGATCATTACAAGAAGCTAGACTGATTTCTTTTAAAGACATCTCTACTTTTATTTACATGTGTGTGCCTGTGTGTATGCATACCACAATGTGTGTTGGTGCCTGGGAAGCCATAGGAGTTTCAGGTTCACTAGAGCTGGAGTTACAGGTGGTTGTGAACTGCTCAACCTGGATGTGATCCTCTGGAAGAGCAGCAAGTGTTCTTAACTACTTAGTTATCTCTCTAGTCCCCTTCCTACAGCATGATATCCTGCAGACAGAACACCCAGTGACGGGACTATCTCTCCTTTACTGGAAGCCATTATTCTATGGCAGGAAGTAGGCTGCCCCACAAATAAAAGCAGTCATCTCTGGATGGTGGTGGTGGTGAGAATCACAAAATCTGGGATTTTCCAGGATCTTGCCATAGCATACCTGGAACACTATAAACCAAATCACAGTCAGGTCAAAGATTAAATTGTGTGTACCTCTTGCTCTGTCCCAACTATTCCCCTATTTAAACTCTTATTCACATTAATAACTAGAAAGAAATGGCTAAAGGTTAGGCCCCTTGCTTTCATGGTATAGCTACATTTATTTACATTTTACTATATAATTTTCTCCTTTTATGAACGTAATCTACTAAAGCTAGAGGTGCTGTTTGACAAGTCAAGAAACATAATTTTCCCTCTGAAGGTTTCTATTTTGTCATGATGCTCAGATTCCTTGGGGAAAGGCAACCCCCTGTCCTATTGTAGCATGCATAATAAAAATCCAGAGACAGATATTGGGGTTCAAGCTGAAGATCAGAAAAGAAAAGCAGACAACAAATAGAGTTCTTATTCCCATCAATGATAGTGTGATCCTGTCCTCAGTGTGACTGCAGACTGAATAATTCTGCTCTTATTTCTACCTACCTTATACTCTTCTCTAGTTCTGGGATTAAAGGTCACACCACCACCATCCAGCTTCTACGGCTTAGTAGTGTGGCTACTGGGATTAAAGGTGTGTGCCTCTACTCCCTGACCTCTATGACTGACTAGTGTGGCTACCTTTGCTTTTCTGATCTTCAAGTGAGCTTTATTTGTCAGATCATAAACAAAATATCACTACAGCCTATACTTCAGTAGCAGTGGCGGTCTGGCAAAATAGACTCAGAAAGCAAGATCTGGGACTGGGGATATAGCTCAAAGATAAAGCACAAAGGCCTGGTTCAATCACAGCACACATGACTGACTTCCTACTACATCACAGAGAACTCACACCTATGCATTTGCCCTTACACATTGATTTTTCTTTTTTAAAAGAAAATTGTATAACTTTATCTCTAAATATTACATATCACTTTATCTTTTGTTTTCTTATAAAATTATCACAGTGGTTCCGTAAAAAAAATCTGTGATACATTACAAGCTCCAATTTTTGTAGAATAATAAAATTCCTACTTTTGTTGAAATAATATCATGATAAGAACACATAATTTAAGACCTCTTATAGATAGTAGTTCTCTCAAAAAAGAAAATAAAACCTTTTAAAGCTCAGTATCATAACAGTTTCATTTCCCACAAGATAAAACGTTATTTTCTTATCTAGAAAATAAGAGGTTTTAAAAAATTTTATTTTGCAGATGAGTTCTCCATTGTCTCCCTCAATTATACTATGTTTTGTAAATGTCATCAACAGAGACAGACAGTAAGACATTCACTTGCAGATATTCAGTCTGCTTTGTACTTAGCATGATGTTTGTATACATGCCTTATGGTATACCACACAAACATCTGTAGCCTCCCAGGATGACTGGCTTGGGATGAAGCTATTAGACTTAATTAGAAATTATTAAAGTCCCACCCTTTCAAATTGAGTGGATGATATGTATCAAATGCTAACCATGAGTTTATGCCTTTAAAACATTCAAGACCTTTCAGTGTGAAGTGTCTCATCTATAGACACAATGATCTGCTGCAGATTTGCAAGCACAGCAAAATCCTTGCTATGTGACTCAGGGTGAAAAGTCACTCATTACTAGTCACACAGCAAATGTCTGCCAAGTATAATGGGTTTACTGGAGGAGGGTGACCACAGATCTAATTTTAATGAAACCCAAGACAAAATATGAGCTGACAGAGTTTGATGTCTGAAGGTAGTCTCTTCCAGCTGGAGGTTTTTTGAGAACACAGAAAAGTAATGCTTTTTTTTTTCCTCTAAAATTTGTATTGTTTCTAGAAGTTTTCTATTTTTTAAGCAAACTGTTATATTTATAGTGGGAAATATTTGAAGTCTCTATAAAACTTATATAATATGCTGCAGTTGTGTATTAAAGCCAAGGTTATTATTTAATCTGCATAGTTATTATGTAAAATAATAGAAAATACTGTTAAATAAGATTATGAGCTACTATGACCAAAATGCCTAAAAACATAAAAAGGCACAAATGACATAAAATCAATCAAAATAAATGAATTTCAGTGGTTAATAGGTGTGTCTGCTTACTAAAAAGTGAAACTTTGATCTATCCTCCCTAAATGTGAATAAGGAAAAGTGACACACCTGCATTGCTAAAGAGCATTGCCTCAGGGTGAAAGAATTTGACTCCCATGCTTTCCAACTCCTCTGTTATCTTCCAGAAATACAAGAGTTTGACACTGTCTCACCCAGTCACACAGAGGACAAATTAGCATTTGGAGAGCAGCTGAGAGGCAACTACTGCCTTGTCTTACTTGGCAATAAAGCTTGCAGATAAGGTGTGATCTGAGGCAGTCATGCCTTATTCACCCCATAGGGTGAATCCCTGTTTGAATTCTGTGGATCTCAGGGCCTGTGCTCAAAAATAGGAATGGTAGATGACACACACTATGCTCAGCCAAGCAATAGCCATGATAAAATTTAAAGTAAACTTTCTCCTTATGCATACATGACAATTTTACACTGTGAATGGCTAAAACTAACTACTGAAACAGAAAAAGTAGAAATTCTTGGATTTTTAGAATCCATTTCTTAATTTAACCCTGCTCTGTACACTTTGGAGTAGAAGGAACATGAATTATTAGGTGAATGGAAAAAAAGCAAATTTCCTAAAAATTCCTTTCTCCTTCATTAAAGATCCATTTCAAGGTTAATTATTTGGAATATAATCAAGTTACATGGACAGATATTAAATGTCATTTGTTGCTAGATTTCTGTCAGCTCATTTTCATAGAATGTCATCTTATACAGGCTACACAAAGTAAATGGCCATCAGTTTTCAGGAGGAACAGAATTAAGAGACCTTACCTTCTTCACCTGCATAGGCCAGAATGGAACGAGCTCGGATCTGTTTCCCTTCTGTGGTTTTCCCAGAGCAGGTGTGTGAACAAGAGGACCATGTGGACCATGCACTGAGCACACAGTCCTTTGGGCATGGGGCATCGCAGGCCACAGGAATGGGAAAGATGGCATCTCTGCATAGCTGTCGGTCCACTTCCTCTCCTGGGAAACACATGACCACCAACAGTGTATCATCATTAAGTCTCCATAAAATGAATGGTTGAAGAGCAGAACAGGGATGGGATGGGAGGATGGGAGGGAGAGGGAACTGGGATTGATATGTAAATTAAGATTGTTTCTAATTTAAATAAAAAAGAAGGTAAAAAAAGAAATGACAGGTGTCTAGATGAATTAGACTATTTCCCATTAACTCTTAATTAAAAACGATCTGACAATCCAGGCCATGGTGGAGAGGATTACCTAAAAGCCCTTCCCCTAAAATGAGATTGATGACTACTCTTTATGCCATCCTAGAGCCCTCATCTAGTGGCTGATGGAAGCAGAGACAGACATCCACAGACATATACTGAGTTGAAATCTGGAATTTAGTTGAAGAGAGGGAGTAATGAAGATCGAAGGAGTCTGTACAGGTTGGAGAAACCCACAGAAACAGTTGGCCTGAACAAGGGAGAGTACATCGACCCCAGATGCTGTCTGGGAGGCCAGTACAAGACTGATCCAGACTCCTGAACATGGAGGTCAATAAGGAGGCCTCTGCACTCCAGGAAGCCTCTGGTAGTGGATTAGTATTTTTCCCTGGTGTAAGAAGGAACTTTGAGAGCCCATCCCACGTGAAGGGATGCACTCTGGCCCTGGACACATGGGGAAGGGCCCAGGCCCAGCACAGGAAGATTTGGTGGATTTTGCAGAGCCCCCGTTGAGGGTCCTATCCTGCCTGGGGAGTGATGGGTGGATGTGGTGGGGGGTAGGTTGGAGGTGAGGGAGGAGGGATGGGGTGAGGGGAGGGAGAGGGAGAAGGGACTTACATGTGAAACAAGCTTGTTCCCTAACTTGAACTAATAAAAAAAAAAAAGAAAAAAAAAAACAAAGAGAAAAGAAGACATGGTTGTTGTGGTGAAATGTTAAGAGAATATCAGAAAAATGCAAATGTAGAAACCGACACATGAATTCCTAAATAAATGATGTTTCTTTAATTATCAGAGGCATAGACATAGAAATCAGCACACTACTGAAAATATTTTTATCCTGCAGTATCTTCCCATTCGTGAGTTTTACATTTATAATGGTAATGCGCAATTAAGAGCATCATGAAATTATTTTACCCTCCTTATTCCCTTGTGAACTATGATTTACAAACAGTGCTAGATAGCTATAACAGGTGTCAATGTTTCCATGTATCAACTCATAGCTATGTCTATAAATGCTATTTATCTTCCAGGGAACATATATTTTATACAACTAGCCACCTTTCTCTTTCTTACTCCCCATTTGGAAGTAGATCGGACATATAAAGGATAGAATAGAATCACCATTCCAGTTCTTAATATGACCACATGGGAAGAGAGGGGATTGGCAACAAGACAGAGCATGTGCAGAAGTGAGCAGGAGTCACCAAAGTGCTGCAAAGTCATCGCCAGTTTCTATGGGTCTTTAGGTAAAGAGCTGTTTGCTTTATAGCAAACAAAACCTCATGTAACCCTCTCTTCCACTGGCCCAAAACTTATGGTGCTATTAAATAGCTAACATGTATGGCTTAAATAGGAAATGTTTTCCATACACTCATAAGCTGAATGATTGGTCCCCAGAGGGCAGTGCTACTCTGGAAGTATCATGGGACTTTAGAAGATGGCTTGAAGAATTGTGTGACCTGGGGAAAGGCATGTCTTTGGGGATATATGCTGTCTGTAGTTCTTCTCGGCTTCCTGCCCACCATATTTGGACAGCCCTTTCTCTTTCTGCCATGGTATTCTATCCCATCTCCTGCCCCGAGCCAATGGAACCAAGGAGCATGGATTTAAAATCTCTCAAACCATGAGCACAAAGAAATGATTTTTCCCTTCAAGTTGTTTTTCAAGTATTTTGTCACAGTGAAGAGAAAAGTAATTAAGACAATGTTCAGTTAATATTTGATGAGTGAGTGAAATGAAATAAACAAAATGCCAGAGAAAAGGAAAGTATCACTGTTAATAAAGAACAATCAGAATCAATAAGACTGTGAGAAAATGGGATAAAGGGAGCGGTCTGAAACAAGTCTGGACTCTGTGACTTGGTTACAAATGTGCTCGTGAGTTGCACAGAGAAGAATGAAGCAATACATCATGTAAGTAAGTGAAAATCTTTCTGCTGTTTGCCGTAGACTATATCCACAATCCTGGATGGATTTATAAAAATCATGAGCATTATATATTAGACATTCAGGGGAGGGAGGTTACTGAATGTGCCATTCCTGACAACCATTACTAACAAATCCCAGGTAATATTTTTCTGGCTGAAGCCCAGGGGTATAGGAACATCATTGTACTGTATACTGTTTTAGTCACATATTTGAAAAGAGAGACAGAAAATTAGTAGTAAATTGGAAATATGCTAACTTGTTAATAGCTACTACTTTGAAAGGGCTTTTATCCTTAGAAAAAAATCAGAAGTCAATTGAAGTACATTTATAGCCATTAGTTTGTAGACCTTAAATAATTATACTTCTTTACTCTTCAATAGTAGGAGAGGTTCATTAGAATTACAACTGAGGCAACAAGATCTCATTCCATCTTTGTGATTTTGATTTCTGAAATATTGCTTTCTTAGATGTGAAGTTTCACATATAATCCAATAAGACAATGTGATTAATAGGTAGATACATAGATGCTAAGTAGAGAAGAGAATCATTATTGTGTGATAAGGAAGTTACTAATTTATAATTTTAATAATAATAATAATAATGACTTTTTTTATTAAACTGGACTGTTTCTTAGGACAAGGGGGTATCTTTTATTGTTACATCTTTCTGCCATCTTTCCTCTATCATTTATTCCCAGAATCCTACGGAATGATAGGAAAGTTAGAAACTGCAGGTGATAGTTAAAAAAAGTGTGACAAGTCATGCCTTCTCCAACATTTTCCAATCATCTCACTCAGAAAGACATAATTCTGCAGCAATTGGGATTCTATGCCATGAATACCACTGTAATAGACTTCCTGACTTGAGGAATGGGTTTCTGTTTGCTAGAGTGTAACCAAAGGGATATATAAAGTGACCTTCCTCATGTTTCAAGTTACTCTTACCTTTCATCAGCCAGGTCTCTCATCATGCTTTGCTTAGGGAGGTTTCTGTTTTATTTTTCTCTCTAGGCATATTATTTAATCCAAGCAGCATACATTAATTCTGGTGGCACCATGTAGATTAACTCAGGTGCAATTTCTGAGAAACCCTTGATGATTCTGGAGTGTATACTGCACTTTACTTCACCTCTCTGGATATGATGCTGACCTTCAGTTCTTTTACCAGGATTCACAGTGAAGCTTTTAAATAGTTTGAGCATTTCAGACACGCATATAATGCATTTGCATGAAGTACATAATCTATTCCAGTCTCCACAATTCCTCCCCTAAGTCACCCACCACCGTTTCCTCCCATACACTGGACTGTTCACACTGAGTGAGTCTACTTAGTGATATCAGAATGTAGGGCCAACTACTGAAGCATGATAGACCTTCAGGAGACATATCACTGAAGAAAACGGACTATCTCTCTCTCTCTTTCTCTCTCTCTCTCTCTCTCTCTCTCTCTCTCTCTCTCTCTCGGCCAGCAAGCATCAGTTTTTGAAAGCTCCTCAGCTAGGGTTGGGACTTCGTGACCAGCTCCCTGATTTGTCTGGGGATTTGTGCTACCACACTCATTAGTCACAGCCTCTGTGTGTACACTGGGCACAGTCTCATGATCCAGACGTAATAGCTAGTTTTCTCTTCCCTTCCACAAATAAATCTCACTGTTGAAGCAAGGACTTTGCAATTTCTCTTTGCTTTTGTGATGGTTTGAATGAGAAATATCCCCATAGTCTCAGGCATTGCAGTATTGTCCCCCAAATTCTGTTGCTCTTTGGGAGGCTTAGGAGGCATGTCCTTTCTGGAGGAAGGATGCCACTTGGGACAGGTTTTGAGATTGTGAAGGCCCCGTCATTCTAGCTTCACTCTCTCTGCTTCATACTACACTTATGGTTCAGGTGTGAGCACTTAGGTGTCTGCTCCAGCCATCATGGACTTTGCTCCATCTTCCCTTCACCACCATGGTCTTAAAACTCTGGGACCACAAGTCTAAATAAACCCTTTCATCTATAAGTTCCCTTGGTCATGGTGTTTTGAAAACAATAGAAAAGTTATTAATTCAACTTTGTATGAAACATTTTATTCTCTCTGGCAGATGACTGCCAATATTCAGTCTTTATTGACCATATACACTCACAGTAACTGGCATAATTATTTTATTATGATTTTAACTACTTTAAGAACCTGTTATTAAGATTAAATAAGGTTACAACATTTGTCACTTTTTAGCAATTATTTTGTGTGTGCATGGTTGAGTGAGTACAAAAATGTCATGTTGTGACTGTGGAGGTACAAATAAATAAATAAATAAATAAATAAATAAATAAATAAGCAACTTATTGGAGTTGACTTTCTCCTCCTAATATGTGGAGCCTGAGGAAGTGAATTCAAGTTTTCAGGCTTGGCACAGAGAATCTTTATACATTAAGTCATCTTTGAGGACCCAATTTTCATCTTTCTTGTTTATTTCCTTATACTTAGAGCTTATAGCTGACATATAGTTGAAAATTAATAGTATATAAAATGAATAAATGAATGTTGTATTAGAGAAATAAATGTTTTGGATATGGAGTAAGTACCACATATAGATTTAAGAACTACATTTCTTCAGTTGTCATGCATTCCGGCAGTCTGTATTTAGTGAAAAGCACTGTGTAAATCATCTCTTGGCTTGGAATTCAGCCTCTCCTTCCTTTAGCAGAATGTGCACTTACAACAGAATCCCCGGTGATTCATACACACACATAAAATCTAAGAAATATTGCTCTGGGATTTATCTGTTTGTTGTCTTCTGGTTTGAGCAGAATCAGACTTTCTCTTTAAAGGGCAACCACATAAATTGAATTTTATACTTTGTAACTCTTGCTTTTCTGAGAGACATA